TTTCATATTATGCGAACCTACCGTTCGAATACCCGCGAATAGTAAGACCAGCTGCAGCACTTCCACCAGCCAGGACGAAGATCCCTCACCACATAGTCACGCACGGTTCGCCAACGAGTTGCTTGAGAAAAACTGCTGAATTCGATCACACGCTTCGGCTCGGTATCATCCTACCATCCAACAGTCTATGGGCATCACCTATCTACAAGAAACCGTAAATAACCATTGGGAGACTGGCGTCCTTGCGGCGACTATCGTGCCTTAAATACGGTTCCCACGTCCGATCGCTATCCGATCCGACAAATCGTTGGTGCTAATAAAGAGGTTGGCAGGTAAGCAAGTTTTTAGCCAGGGCGACTTAGTACGCATTTACAACCCAAAGCTGGTAGTCGAAGCGGAGATCGTTAAAGCTGTCGTGATAGTCCCATTTGGTTTGTTCGAATTTCGCTGCTTGCCATTTGGCCTAAAGATTGCCACGCAAACTTCTCAGCGCTGCATAGACCAATTTTTTCACGGACTGGACGTCCTCTACGCTTCTCAACGATATCTTACTTGCGAGCTCTTCACGAGAAAAGCACTTGCGTCCTATTCGGTAACATTTTGATCCATCATCTCAACAAGGGCGACAATCAACGCAGAAGTGTTCGTTTAGCGTTTACTAGGTCAACTTTCCGGTCATCATATCCCTATTGCAGGCGTCATGCCACTACAGGACAAAATCAAGGCCAGAATCGACTAACCCGCACCTCATTATTTCATACAACGCAGTCATCTCGAGGAACTAGACAACTTTTATCGCCGTTTCATACCTAGCTGCGCTCAGCTTATGCAACTCCTCACGGACCTTCACCAAGGGAAGCATAAGCAATTTGATGCTCTTGCTGAAGCACGCGCCGCGTTCCAGGCTTTGAAAGAAGCTATCGCTAACATAGCTTCTATATCGCATCACGAGCAAACAGCTCTACTGTCACCCTGTACGGACGCTTTTAACTTGACACTTGGCGCCGTTTTATAGTAACAACTAGGTGACGGTTATCAACCGCTGGAGTCTTCTCCAAACGTTTGCAACCTGCCGAATCTCTGCACAGTAAGTTCGGTGGAGATTTATTAGCCATCTACTTAGGCATGTGTCATTTATGACATGGGTTAGAAGGTTACACTTTCACCTGACCAGCGTGCTCGACTCGACAACCCATCGATACTCTCCTAGACAGTCGCGCCACCTAGACTACATCGCTCAATTTACAACCGATATACGACATGTTTCGGGTGTGCACAACACTGTCGCTGACGCACTTCACCGAATTCAAGCGATCTCCGCTGGCGCCAGCACCGCCTTCGACATGACAGCCATGGCCGCTGCGCAACTCAATGATCCTGAGGTGGATCTACTATGTATGCCTCCCCACTGGACATACGAAACCTACCGCTGGCCTCCTCAGACGGAAATATGCTTTGCCATTTATCTCTGAACATGCCGCACCTAGTCGTCCCACACGAGTTTCAACAAACTGTGTTCACTACGTTGTGCGGCTTTTCTCACCCAGGCTTTCGTGCATCCGTTAAACTCAAGGCCGCACGATTCGTTTGGTGCAACGTCAATCGCATCATTCCTAAATGAGCAGCTGCTTGTCTTCCGTGTCAACGCACGGAAATGCAAAAGCACACGAACTGCCCATTAGGCACGTTTCCAACGCCAGATGCATGCATTCGCCAAGTACACATCGACCTCGTATGTCCTCCGCCCCTTTCGAAAGCCTCTGTAAATTTCCTGGCCTGTGTCAATCGCTGGGTAGCTCAATACGGCTGTCGCGCCATTGTGACTAGCGATCACTTCTTGTCCACTTTTGTCATGCTGCTTAAGAATTTAGGCTATTGCCAAGTCTAGATGACGGGGTATCATCCGGCTGCTAACGGCATGTTAGATCGATTTCATCGCCAACTGAAGGAACTGCACGGAGTGCTCGCAGATCCTTCATGTTTCGAAACTCTTCCACTCTACCTCCTAGGCTTCATGAGCACCGCTAAAACCGATTTCGATACAATACCAGCACAGCTGGTCTACAGCAGCAAAGTAGATTTGCCCGGACAGTTAGCAGCACCAGCATCGTCCACTATATACTTCGACCACGGAAGTTACACTGAACGGTTGGGTCACCAGAGGTCTGAGTTGCGCCCGACTGCTTCAAGTATGCGGATGACACTAGTATATGTGCCCGGAAAACGGCCTACTTGGTCACCCGTACTACTTTGTATAGACTGTGTTCGACAGCCTCTGTAGTTGCCATACGCTGGACCCTTCATAGTGATCAACCGTACAAGCAAGACGTTTACGAGCGATCGCGGTGGCGGACGCGAAATCGTCACCATCGACCGTCTAAAACCAGCTTTTATGGTAAGTAAGTAATGTGCCAGCTGTACACCGTAACTGCACTTCCCTGTCGCGCGACCACCACTAGTCGCGCGCGGGCTGAGTATATCGCAAGCATGTCCACCCCTACGCGGATTCGAACCGGGGACCTTATGGTTGCAAACAAGGTGCACAGGCCACTCTGCCACCGGCCGAGGAAAGCAATGCTTCACGCGATGCTTCGCGCGACATTACAACTAACCACACCAAGGTCCCGCACCCTAGTGTCGTCGAACCAGACCACGATCCCGGTCTACAAGCATTATCCTTCCCGACAACGCCCGAACCTAGTCTGTCGCATCCCACGACCAACCGAAGCGGCCGGGAGATTCGCTAGTCCGTCCGTTTTTCCGACCATGTACAGTGTAACTACGTTCAGGTTTGTACCTATTGTATACGTTCACCCCGAGATTTTGATAGAACAACGTTCTGAGAAACCGAAAAATAGTTAACATAAGTAGTGCACGTAAAAACAACAACCCAAAGCCAACAAATCTATACAGTGTCGCATGCATCGTTTTCGGTTTTCTGCTTGCGCGTTTCTTTTTCTTTGTTTAATATCTAAAACCAACCCTCTCACTCTACCGACTGACCATCACGAGCAACCCGTTCGAGGATCGTCATAGTCAAGAAGCCAAACTAGCAAACTGGACCTTCTTCGTGAGATCAGGATCGTTTTGGCTGGGGGGGGGGGTACGGTGGGGGCAGAGGCCACTCTCGAGTGCACCATTTGGAAGCTTCGGACTTAAGGCCCTGTCGGCCTTCATTCTGGGCTAGCTAGTACCTATTTGAAGTCCAGAAAGCCCGCTCCAATGGCTCGCCAAAATGCACTCTGCCCTACAATCAATAAATGACAAATAAAAAACGATACAGCTGACTCCGATTTTCGGTGAACACCCATTCGACACAAACACCTATCCCTATAACTCAGCATGGTCTTGCCCAACAAACATCGATTCGCCTATCAATTTCGACATTGAATGTTTTCTTTGTTCGGCCTTCCAGGAGAGAGGTCTGTAGAGCCCCAAAACATAACTGCTGTCTTGTATGTTTAAAATAATTGATTACCAATTGTACATTAAGCTGTCTTGTTTTCATCTCCCGTACATCCGGCCCGACATCAGTCAGTCAGAAAGTAACCGCGCCAACGTTTGCTCCTGTCTCGCTTCATCCTCCCACATCTTTTTGTAGCCTATCGAAAATAGTCCCCTGTGTCCAACTTCAATGATATCCGCGCACGATTACGCGCACCGTCTCGGACTAGTATTTACTACTCCGACAGCTTGCAATTAAGAAAGGATGACACATGTATAGCGGCCATCGTGTATATTTTCCGATGTCCGCTCTAAAAATAGACGGCTATCTTGCTTGTGTTTTAATAGCCGTCCACCTTGTGTGAAGCGCCGCCTAGCACACACTGGTGTTACCAGCTTCCGTCGATTAGCCGAAATGCAAGTGAGAGTGGCTGACCTACCAACTCCTAATCCCATTGCTTCTTCTACAAAATACAGAACGAGGAAAGATCCGGCCTTCTTAAACCTCGTGTATATCCATGCGATATTTATAATTGACAGAGTAACCGTGAGCAGTCGCTTGGGCCGCAGATATCATGCACCACAGTTTATCCACGACTCATACTCCTGTGTCTACATGGCGTTCACTCAATGTGCTTATCAGCCATCTTACTTAGGTAATCATATGAAATCCACGTTTGTATTATCGTAACCGGCTTAGCCAGTACACGCCCATCCGAATTACGTTTATTGTCACTTTTATTTTGGGGTCTGTAAGAATCGCCACGGCCATTTTACAGCACTTGCGTTCGCACTCTGATTATGTCGGTTCTCCATTATTCCTATAAACCGTTGCGTCAATCGATTTTGGCTGCACCTAAGGGGGGAAGTGTTTTACCCTTATGCATGCCAACGAAAGATGTGGTCTCACCTCACCAAGGGTATCTTCCTCATGAATCAACCGTCAGTGAACGCCATGGTGAAATTGTTGGTACTATCAGGTGATTAGCACAATCACACACAATCAGCAGAATCGATTAGGCATGAAGGAACCAGACCCGTTGTGTTTGGATTCCTAATCTAACAGATATAATCGCATACTAGAAACATGTGCGTCAAACAGATATATGATCATGCATGCTTACTTGCGACGTATTCGAAGGTGTATGTTCACAAATTAAGTAGTATAAGCGTCTCGTCTGAGCGGTCTTTGGAACAAAGACGGACATGCGGTCCGGCCTTGTGGAATTGCGCCACGATACGGGAGACTCAAGAACCGCGTCCATCCACCTGGATCTTTGAACCGGACCATTCTGAACGGCACTGTGGGCTTTCGTATTTGAAATGGGGTAAATGGTAACCATTGGCGGTTCCGAACCGGGCATTATGCTGACACACGTGAGGGGTTGGCCGAAACGCAGTGTCAATTTACCATTGAGAGGAGAAGGGTAAACATTTAGCACGTCACCGCCTTGATCCACACATATGTGTACGGCCCGTGATCGACGAGACAATTGCCTTTGGCGTAAAGCGAACTCGTCCTCCAGTCGACTCCAATAAGCAGGACGTCCCATTGGTGGAATCGCTAATTCCGGATGTAATACACACGTCACGTATGCGTCCCGCAACAACGTGGTGGCCGTCATCTTCCAGATTTTCACTATATGGTTCTTGTACACATTCAACTGCTCAAACGAATTGAGGTCAGAATTGAGTTGGATTACTCGATATGACTTCGAGCTTGTCAGCAAATGTAAATAAGCACTGAGTCTAGAATGCATACTTCGATACCCATGAGCGATACTATCCGCCTGCTCACAAAACAGCTGCATCCTGGACCCGGCACAGCGAATCAGGAATTCGTCACCCTCACTGAGACATTTGTTCGTGGATGCAGCGGTACCATTCCTCATCCGATCAATCGTAGCAACTGGTCGTATGATTGTTGGTATAATACACAACGGCGTGGAGCTGATCTTTGACACATTTATCAACTCACCTCTTGGTCGGAGAGGCTGAAGCGTAGTGGTGCAGCCGTAGAATCCGTAATCATCCACGGCCACTACGCCAATATCCAACGTATGTGATGAGGGCCACTTTCGCTCCGGATAAATGAATAATCTCTCCGATATATTCCCTCGCCCAGACAATATCCTGACACGTCTTTCCACCAGAGAGAATTGCACAAGCTGCTCCACATCCGATGGTTGTGGATTGGGAGCATATGGCTGTCTAATCCAGGTAATTTGCAGTGGTCGATAAGCTGAAAATTCACCTCCATCGAGTTGTGGGCATCGGGCAGACACAGACACCGGCAAGACGATAAGTGAGAATTCTAGTATCACGTCGCTCTCCTGGTTTTCCAGTCGCCATGGGATCAGATGCTTAATTGACTGGCTGCGTGCGTTATACCAGGCTTCCTGTGATATATCCCCATGGGTGGTCCAGGCATATCCAATATCATGTAGACCTGCGGGAATCGTAGCCTCCAAGTCAGCAGTTGACAAACCATCTTCACTATCGTCTGTGTCTAATCTGGCATGTCTACACCAATGTTTTGTGTGTGTTGTTGTCACTGATTGGCGTGAGTGCTGTCGTCCAAGCGGATCCCAGCGAAATCTGCCACTTTGTCTGTCGAACTTCCGTTCCGACTTGCTCCATGACGCACGATCGGCCTGATCGTAACAAATCTCTGGATACCGTTTCATACGGGTTATGCCACGTTCAAGTTGTCTGCGATACCCGTTGATCTGTACATCTGGAGTCGTCGATTCGAGCTGATAATCTACGTCCCGCGATCTGCATCTTCTTTGACGATCTGGTTCCATGTTACGCCCGTCCAAACTCAACGGCACTCGCCGTTCATGGTCGCTTTGTGACAACTCACACGCCATTGCAGTTCGACTGGGTTCATACGGCAGTTCCAAGCTGCTAGGAATGTCACTATAAGGGATTCGCTTCCTTGGATCCTGTTGGGATATATCCCATTTGTTAGCGAGGTGCCAAACTAAGTGTCGAGACGAGTGCGAAGACTGTGTAGGCCGAACAAGAGCATCCGCGTGAATATCACTTTGTTCCAGCACATCCACGCTCCTCAGGTTTCCTGCAAACGCGACCTCCTGTGCGCGTTCCTTCGACCAGGTGGATAGCACACTGTAGATGCTTGAACGGTTCACGCGCGGTAGTTTAGCAGTCATTCTTATGTCCCCCAATCTTTCGGACCTTGTCATTGCTTCAATAGCAGGTAACTCCCCTTGGATATCTTCACGCATATTTTCTAACCGACTCACTAATCGGTACCCATCATCATAGGCACTTCGCAGTGCGTGCGCATGGCGACGAAGATGGGGAGCTCTAAGTTGCTCTGCAACAGTAAAATGGCCTTTAGCAAACAAAACAACAGGAGGATGTAGATCAGATTGTGGTCTTCGAAGATCGGCGTCGAAAGCCTGCCTCTCGGTTGTATCCTCCTCTTCCGCTGTACGTGCATAATGCACTGCCGAAGCAGCTGTTTCTATGTGACCCTTCCGTGTGGCTTGCTGAATTTTCCGAAACTGAGTTCGGTGGTCCGTTCCACACAGTGAAAAATCGCTGAGCTCGCTTTGATCAACGCGGGGGATGTGTACTTTTGGTGATGGTAGCAGGTTGAGCCGTTTTTCAGTTTGAAACGAAGAGGGAGCACGTAACTCGTCAGGAATCGTCTTGTCCTCTACCTCGTCCATGTGGTCATCGAGAGTATTGATCTGCTCCAATCTCTCAAGTACATCTACGCTCCATATATCGTTTGACTCCACCTTATCTGCTGTAACGGCCTGAAAAGATCTCACCAGAGAACTGTGGGATATTAATTGGCGATGCCCGTATGGCTCATCAAAACCGGTTAGCTCATTTGTAGATGTAACTCCTGACAAGCAGCTACGATCTGCTTGGGGGTTTTGCACCAGACCTCCAGTACCATTCTCTCGCATAACATTCACGTAAATTGTGACCGTGACAGAAGTGCTTCTCTTCTCATACGAACATTCACAGGTAGCAATGCAACGAAACACGTAGTGGCCACTTCGATTCAACTGCAGAAGAGACAGTCTGTTGTCTAGACTACTTAGTGTCTGCACGTTATCGTATGACTCGGGTCCGATTTGTGGGATCGGACCAGCCACCCAAATCCATCTGATCGCAGCATGTTCACAGCCACCCCGGGCCTCACAATAAATGCTGTCATGCACTCCGTACTCTTTTCTGCCACTCGGGCTCCATTCCACTTCAGGTGCACCACAATCAGTCCTCGCCGGACGAATCGTTTTATTCGTGGTTATTGTGTCATCTGCGAAATGGCACACAAAGTCGTTGACAAAATTTACACTTGTCACCGTTACGTGCGCACATATCTCACCCAGGACAACTCCATGTGGGTGAAGGACGCGCAGGCGCTCGTTGTGCAGCTCTTCACTCTGACCGGCGGTGGATACTTGAAAATGCGCAATCTTTCGTCCAGCAGGATTTGTTGACCAGACGGAACACCTGAATTGTGCCACTTGTCCTAATTTTGCTGGCGGAGAGGCTATTGCCCACAAGTTTCGTACTCCTTGTAAGCGAATTCCAAAAGAGACGTGCTTCGACTTGCCAAGGATCCGTCGCTTGATGGTGTGGCTTCGTAATGTCGTGTTTTCCAAGGTCATGCCGGTGCAGAAATATTCCGCGCTATCGAATTCCTGAAATGCAAATGGAATCCGAATGAACCGTACAATCCGTGAGCTTTGTGCCACATAGAAATGCTAATGACACTGGATTCATATGCATTTTGGATCATGACCACACGGCCACATGCGTCCCCTAAAGCAATGTACTGGTGTAGTACGATGGAACTTTTGGAACTTGGTAGTTGTTGATGTAATTACACACGTAATAGATAAGTGCTATAGAGCAGGCACATCTCTGAATTTATGTAAGTACCGACCAATAACGAGAGAGGATAATTCAGTCTAGTTGATGGTCAAAGTAGGGTAAGATTCCTACCTTGTTAACTAACCTGTGCTGATGATGACTTACTGGGTTAGCTGTGATGTTATAACGACAAAGTCACATCAAGTTGCGCCAGAATACCCAAGTGCTGAATCTATCTTATTAAGCACGACAAGTAAGGTTAGCTTGATAGAACCAACCCACAAGGATCAACACTGCACATAACTGAGAATATTTGTACAAATCTTTGATAGTAAACACTTAGTTTGATAAGCTACGATAATTGTGAAAACTAGGCTTGTTCAGTGGGCATGTGTGTGTTGGCATCTCCATAGCAGTATATAATTTGAACACACTCACCGAGACAGGTTGGACAACAATCGAATTGACGTCCTCGTCCATTAGGAGGGATACACTGAGGTTTCTCGCAAATCCTGACACTGGTCCCAACAGCTTGGCGGTCGGCTGGGTATCGGATCTGACTAAGCGGTGCTTTATCCGGTGCATTAGGGGGAACATTGCCACACATAGGTCGTAGTGCAACCAAGTGTAGTGAATCAGGCGATGCAGAGCGGTACGCACCATGTCCAGCTGTGGTCGCATCTCACAGTCAATCTCCATCGCCTCACCGATCGACAGAATTTCTGGACGTTGGATAACCGGTTCTACCTCAGCCGCTCCAACGCGTGTGCGTAGATCCCTGTAGAGTGATTGGAAGACACACCTCAGAATAGCTTCCCCACGCCTCAGCCTCCCATGGGTTTGTGTTTGTGGCTGAAAAATGAGGAGAGAATAGTAATTCAACTGCAGCCTTATCTTTCCGGCCGCCAGTCGAGGGTCCTTCAGTGTTGGTTGTGTGCGATTCTCTCTTGTTTTATATAACCGCAGCTGTTTCTCCAGTGTTCGTGGTGAGGCATGTAAGACCTTAACTGTACCGGACTGTTGGCTTAATGGGAAAGAGTAGGTTTCACAAAACCAGACCTCTTCATCAGGTTTGAAGAAGAATTGTGTAATTTGAGTTGGGAGTTGGAATCGGACATTGATCAGATCACTTGTGAGATCAGGGTCTTGTTTCCTCTGACCAACGCTGGTCAAATGCAGATCTACCGTTCGGCAGAAACTGACAGCCATGAAGTCAATGTGTCGCAGTTGTTTTATGGTCAGTTTTATGCTCCGGAATACTTCGAGGCCAGACGGATGGATCTTTACCACACAGGATGTCTGGTAGTATGGGCCAAGCCAGTACTCTTGTTCACCGATGGGCTGAGAACACGTCCTGTCTTCTGTTGTGACCAAAATGCACGAATGCTCCGAAACCATCCACTGGGACAAGTTTGCTTCACGGGCAACCACATGCTCCTTAGTTGCCAGCTTCCCCTCCACGGCACATATGACTAGAGAGAAATTCGAGGTCAGGTAGTACATTTTGAGTGGGTGCCCATGAGTTGTGACCATTCCCTCACATCTCACATGCAGCCGCGAAGTTTGTGGTAGCAGTTCATTGTTTGTCGGTGGTTCTGTCCAAATGTTCGGTGCATTGGGACAGTTGCTAGGCAAATGCGTTTTCGCCATTGGCTGACTCAGCCTCACCAACTCTGACTGAGACAGCTTTCCGGAAATCACGCGTTCCCACTGGTTCTCGATAGATATCGGCCTTACCAAACAGAAGAGTTTTGCCTGCGGTGAAGGTGGCCATAATTCAAGCCAACCCAAGTGCACATTTACCACATCGCCGAGTGGATTCAACGCAACCTTCTTGCGTGCCACAATTTTCAACGGCTCCGTTGCATTCACAGTAAGAAGCATCAAGACTTCGGAGGCTGGCGCATATCCGTTCAATAGACAAGCTAGCAGTGCGGCTTCAGTTTCGAATTGTGGCCACTTGATAGACAGCTTTGGCATATGCCAGTATGGTTCCGGAACGGAGAGTGGGACAGTGGCGTAGTTGACAACATCAGTAACCTGTAGAATTGAGAGAAATTGTGTTAAATCATGTGGCATCATCCCAAATACACACCCATGTCATCTGAGGAGTTCAACTACACGATAACTGCTTGAACGTTAATGACACAACTACACTGATGTACAATAAAAATATAGCAAAATAAAGATCTACAGGAGCATCAGCCCTTTATCGGCAATCGTCCAACCAGCGGTAACATCAGAAGGGTATGCGATACAAAGCAATCACTTGGTGGATCTACTCAAGACACCTTTATATTCTGGAGGAGGCTGTGTCCCTCACAGAAAAGACAACAGGCCCCATTACACCAGCCGTCGCCCACTCGTTGTAGCTGCTACAAACCAGTCAATTCACAGTCTATCCATTGTATCATTTTCACCAGACAGCTACCGGAAAGCCAGCAGTTATAGCTGTAAACAGTGCATCAGTCCTTGCCATCTTGGACCATTGTGTTGTCCTATTCAGTGGGAACAGTTTTGCGACCATTTTTAGCAATATGTCCGGTCATCCGACCTTTTCCCTAGCATCGTGGGCTGATAGGAAGGATTTTTTGCAGTCGGCGCTGCTTTCCATTTCATTTAAATGGACCCCCAATAACTTAGCACTACCACTCTACACGTTGCCGAAATAATATAAATGCAAAGGTTAATAGTTTGTCACGCTTGTAAATTTAGATCTATGTCATGCATCCTTGAAACTGCAGTGCTAGTGAAAAATACTGAATATGTTCCCAGTCGGGTGCATAAAGCTTATTTTCTACATTGGATGTAAGCCTTCCTATCGTATCACTGCCATCAGCTGGTGCCTTTCTTTCCATAGATCCAAAGCAAGTATCAAGTGACTTTTATGGATATCGTTGTAAAACTAGTAAACACGTTTCATAAACCGAAGCCAAGTCTTTATTGTATCGCTTATGCGAAAAAGGGCATGAAGTCACATCCGTGCCGCAACGGAAGGCAGCCACCTGGCACCGTCTTCTGAGGAATGGTATGCCCGGGTAGTTCGTTTCCTTACTGCGTGCTCTGTATAGTCTGACCTCGGGTGGAGTTAGGGCACATGGCAAGCTTTCGCCTTCCCTTGTTGTCACCACTGATGTTCGACAAGGATGCCCTATGCCATCATTCCTCTTCGCTTTTGCCATTAAGAGTGTCCTCAAAAATGCTCTAGAACATTTGTTGTACGCTGGCGTTGAGTTCTTCAAAAGTAGTCGGGTGGTTACTTGGCATTACGCTGATGATATCGTCTTGTAGGGTGACAGTCCGCATGCCGTCCTACTTACACTCAACCGCCTGGTGATTGAACCGTCGCAGAATGGCGTGCATTGTTTACCATCCAAGTGCTACGCGCTTTTTCAAGACTGGCATGCGCCTTTACCTGCACTCACCAACCATGGTGAGATGCTTGAACTTGTAAAGAGTTTTGTTTACATGGGAAGTTGCGTAACTGCTAGTGGGTGGTTGGGAATGAGATTTCGTTGATCATCTCAAGTGCTCGTTTCACTTTGTCTAGGTTGAGGCATTTGTGGTGCCGCCATGACATCCGTCTCTCTATCAAAACCCGCGTTTACAGTGCGACCGTCCGCGCTGTACTGTTTTACAGTTGCGAGACCTGGCGTGCTGTTACCGATGTCCTGCGCCGGCTGTCTGTCTTCGAGAACCGTTGCTTGTGGTCCATCGCCCGTGTGTGGTGGCTGCACCACGTAGCCAATGTTGAAGTCAGACAGCGTGTCTTGGGTGGAGGCAGCCACTCCCTCGAGGCCGTTGTCTCGCTGCGCCAAGTACGATGGCTCGGACACTACTGCGTATGCCTGCTCAGCGTCTTCCGCGTCGTGCCTAGTTTGCGGTCGCTGGGCAGGGCTGGAGGACGCGGCGCGGTGGACAGCCTACAACCTGGAGAAGTAGGATGAAAAAGTTGACAAAACATCTGGCTTCGGTTGATTCTTCCCGACTCCCTGGATGCGGTCCCAAGGATGCACAGTGCCGCTAGTGGGAAAATTTAAGATATGACTAAAAGAGTATTCAGTGGCGGGCGTGTATCTCTGCTTGTTGCAGTGATTCCCATTTTCGCCCCCTAATAAAAACATTCCAAAAACTCAAAACATTGTGAGTGGTAAAATGGACAAACATTTTTTGTTTTTCTTACTTCTTTTATCTTAATCCTGTTTTCCTATTCCGTCGTGCTTCCGAGGGCTATATATATATATATATATATATATATATATATATATATATATATATATATATATATGGTGGCATCCGGTTTCGGAACTGCCTGTCACTGTGGCCAGCCACAGGACGCCGGCGCCTACAGAGCGACCATGGGTGAACTGCGCTGCACCACCCACAGCTCCAACCACACACCCCATATCCAGTGTAAACCCGAAGGAATAAGACCGGGAGGCATGTGGATGGGCGCCACGTTTCATCAACGGAGCTGGCCCACACTCCTTCGCAGGCAAACACAAGCACGCTGTATTTGGGGAATCAACCGCACACAAGGCGGTGGCTGGACCGTAGTCCGCTCCACACTGAGTGCATGGAACCGCTCTTTGAGCCTAGCACGGCCACAAGAACCGTGCACCCCGTCCCCTCTAGCAACGACCAACTGTCTCCTGGAGCCAGTATGGACGAGGTAGTGGGTAATAGACAGGTAGGCACCTTGTCAACATGCACACCAAGCGCAGCCACACCGAGGATATCAAACAACAGCCAATCACTTGAGAGAGAGAAAGAAAAAGAGAAAAACTCGATTAATGCATAAGGCAACGGTGACATAAACCTTAATCAAATAGCATACGTAATAAGTTGTTTACAAACAAATCCTAGCTAAGTGCACGAGGTCAGGAAGTACAGTTCACGGAATGCCACGAACACAAAAATGTTATGGAAATCGAATACAATTGGCTGAAGCGATGTGTGCAAGTTAATGGAATAGAGTACAGGGAGATATTTATATGAGAAAGAAAAGCATTAAGGTAAAAACTGTAAACCCACCACCTGAAATAAACAGACTTAGCATGCAAGCACGCGGTTAGGAAATCGAATTCAGCGTGCCTACAAACGCTGCGCCGGCTCGTCGTAATTCTCTGCAGGACCCGTCGTCGCTTCTGTAGTGGCCCCAAATGGCACAGCGCATGGCCCACTAGACATTTATATGAGAAAGAAAGGAATTAAGAGAGAACCGAAAACCCTCCACCTGTAATAAAGAGACTTAGCATGCAAGCATGCGGTTAGTAAATCGAATTCAGCGTGCCTACAAACGCTGCGCCGGTGCTGCCTACGTTCACTGCGGGACCCGTCGTCGCTTCGGCAGTGGTCCCGAGTGACCTCTCTCATGGCTCACTAGGCCTGTCTGACTAAGGCACTCGCGACCGCATGTTCTACAGCACAATGCACTCGATGTCGATGGAGTACAATTCATCGGTGCTTGCCGCTTCCGCAACTGCCGCTTCTTCTCTGCATGCATGAGGGATTTCTCCCGCACTTCAGCAACTGTCTTCGTGATTAGATCGCGCCATGCACGCCGATCAACCGCCTTCGATTCCCATGATCTGCAATCAAGATTAGAACGTGTGAGGCTCACTTTAATCATGTCCTGGTAACGTAACTTTGGTTTCCCAGCATGCCGCTTCCCAGTACTCAGCTGACGGCATAAGAGTTGTTTCGGTATCCGCGTCGAATCCATACGGCTCACATGACCGAGCCATCTCAGGTGTCACAGCAATAGTATGCAGTCCACTGCATACATCCCACTTCGGCGCAACACTTCCGTGTCTGCAACTCTGGCGCCCCAGCCGATCCGCAGAATTCGTCGCAGACACTGCTGATGGAACCGCTCGAGATATCGCACATCCCGACGGTACATCGTCCACGTTTCACTGCCGTATAGAAGAACGGACAGTACCATGGATTTGTACACCATCAGCTTCGTGCCAATGCTAAGCTGATGGTTGTTCCACACTCGGTACTCAAGCTTCCCGAATGCCGCTGCCGCCTTCGACACGCGATTACGCAACTCAAAGTGTAGTTGCTGATCAGTCGACATCACACTCCCAAGGTAGCAGAAGCGGGAGGTGGTTTCCAATACTTCAGCACCAATGCTGATTTGCGGCAATATTGAAGATTGCACCTCCGGTGAAGGCTGAAAGAGACACACAGTTTTGCTTGTGTTGATGGTGAGCCCGAATTTGGCCGCTGTCGAAGCCAGAGCGCTAGTCATGTGCTGCAACTCATCCGCGTTGTGTGAAAACAACGCATAGTCGTCAGCAAACAGCAACATACGGATAGTTGTCTCACAGACTAGAGTTCTCGCACCGAAACGACGGATGTTCAGCAACCCACCATCAATACGGTGCTCCACACGAACACCATAAGCACAAGCCGCATCAAAAGCACAAGACAACATTGCATGAAGATAGATATTAAACAGGGCAGGAGCTAACACACAGCCTTGCTTCACACCAGAGACAACTGTAAAGTCATCAGAGGTCTCTCCACTCAGCTGCACCCTCGCTCGCATACCACTGTGCAGACATTCAATTAAACTTACAAACTTACGCGGGCAACCAAACTTACCCAACACCAGCCACAGTGCCTCGCGGTTCACCGTATCAAATGCCTTGGTGAAATCAACAAAAAGCGAGTACAAAGGCTGATGTCGTTCTCCCCAATTCTCCTGCAACTGACGAGCCGCAAACACCATATCTATAGTGCTGCGACCCGAACGGAATCCACATTGCTCTTCCGCCACGTTTGGTTCCACAATCTGACTCACGAGACGAATGAGCAGGATTCGGGCAATCACCTTGCCCACACTACTCAGCAAGTTGATGCCACGATAATTCGTGCAACATTGCTTGCTACCTTTGCCCTTGTACAGTGGTAGCACAAGGGAATCTTTCTGCTCAGCAGGCACCTCCTCCTCAATCCACACGCGTTGCACCAAGTGGTGCAGCGCAGTCAACAACGCGGGTCCACCGTGTTTCAATACTTCAGGTGGG